CAGGGAAAAACTCGGACTGAGGTAAATATGATTTTTGGACAGACTTTACTCGACTCTAGTCTAAGACCGGTGAAACACTACAGTATTGCAAAAAACCGACACATTGTAATCGGTAGTGGTTGAGTTCCATGGGGGGGGGAATAGTGGACTAGAGGAGGTCTCGGGTAACACAATAAAATGTGGTGTTATTAGAGGCCTCCCCGCCCCCTCCCCGGAGGAATAAAAAGTAGATTTCATGTGCTCTTGTCGGGAGAAGACTCTGTCCCTGGAATGACCCTACGACGTTACTAGACCAAGGGTGTGTGAGAGTCTCGTACATAACGATTATATAACTCTGGAAATATATAACTTACTTTGTCATATTATCCCCTGGGAATGTAGTGGACAGTCCTGAAGACTACGAAAATGACGAGACCGTGACTACACACTGTCGACAAAAAGGTGTGGTTCGTCGAGTCGAGAGTGGAGTTTCGTCATGAGAACAGTATCCTACGAGCTCACTCGTCCAAACTATTGCCTTTCCTGAAACTTTCAGAATCTCTTTACACAGAGGGGACACATGTTGATGTATAAAAGACATGACAAAGTGGATTTTGCATAATAGGTGACCTTTAAAGAGACTGTGAATTGAAAATATAACATTTGAAGAATGAAAGGAAATTGAAATGAGTCCCAAAATAATTTCCTGTAGGAGTCTGTCAGCTTTTCCCATCATTTTTCCATTAGTGCAACATGACAGAGGTTGAGAGTGAATACAAGACATTATTTTGGCGCTTTAGCTGCAGTCTCCATAGTTACTAATGGCTGTGGTTGTTGAATTTACCATTGGCTATAACCTCAGGTGACTACGGCATCGGGAACCAAGTGCTTTGCGTGTCGCTCAGCTGCAGAGAGAGACAAATGGATCGAGAACCTGCAGAGAGCTGTCAAGCCCAACAAGGTGAGGGGAGAGAAAGGGATGCGGTAGAGGAAGAAAAAACAAAAAGGATGATCCCTCTGTCTGTGTGTCTCTCTCTCTCCTCCCCGTCTCCCGTTGTTGTCTGTTTTCAATAAGAGCGCACCGCTTCATTTCTCTGTGTGAACTCCATCCCTGTGTCTGTGTGTGTCTGTGTCGAACAATATAGTCGCTTCTCCACACAGAAATATTAAAGCTGCACAGGGTAATGCGAGATGGTGGGGGATTGGTGGCAATTGCTGTTATTTGGAAAAAACTATGATATCCACCAATCAGGTAATGCCAGGTCAGTAAATTGCACACAGCAGGATCATTTTTACCTACCCAGCATGTGTGTGATGCTTAATACTGAAGAATACTGAAGGAACAAGAGCTGAGAGAATTAATTCCGATGAGTCCAGGTCATTGCTTTCTGTGGGCCTAATTTATTCACGCCAATTTAGTCCAGTTTGGATCGCTCTTAAAAAAAAAAGGGTTGAGGATGAGAATATTAAAATGTTCTTGCATATGGCCTAATGTCAGTTTGCTCATAGGTGACATCAGATCGTGGTTAATAAGTGAAGATGGGATGCAGCTCTTGTCCACTCGATGATTTAAGGGGTATTTGGGAGTATTTCACATTAAAAAAACTCCCTTTGTGCTACTGTGAGTTTATATCCATCCTCACAGCTTAAAGAAATGAAATCTCCAAACTTTATATCGACTCAAAATCTCATTTTCAACCAGCTTACTTTGTAAAATTGTCCTGTAACTTCCCTCTCTGTTATTAAAAAAACGTGAACACACATGCAAGAAATGCCGCTTTGATGGCAACCAGGCAGTTAGAGTTATTAAGCCAGACTGAGATGAAACATCGCCCGAGCCGAATGCCTCGGCCAGATGCTCGGGCCGCGGGGGTCCTGGCTGAGTCATGGAGCTCCAAGGACTCCACATGGGGGCTCACTCCAAAAATCATCGCCCTCCTACCCCTAAACAACATGCACTGTGCATCTCAGACCAGATGCATCTTCAGAGATAAGACTCACTACGGAGACAAAGATTATCATTATGCTTCTTAACTTCCTGGAGCCTTTCAAATCCCTGTTTGAGCTTTGAGTGTTTGTACTTTCAAAAAGGAGAGCTACCACTTCACCCTGTTTTCCTGTTTTACTCGTTTTTTTTTTGCTAGTAAAATCAAGATCTGACTGAAACGAGTGAAGATGTAACATAATATCAAAGCAGAGGACTCGAGCCCATGCTGTTGTTGCTGCACTGTATGTGCACTAGCAAACTGAGCCACCAGATGTCCAGCACGTTCAAACTCAGACGTTTAGAATACATTACGCCTTGTGTTTGGCGCTGATTATCAAAGCGCATACAAATGGAGAACTTAAGAACTGTGGATATAGAACCGTGGTGCTCGCATATTGAGTTGTCTAAATTAGGACTTCAATAGTCTGCAGGCAAACAGGGGGCTAACAACAATGGCATTTAAGCCTAGTTGAAATGACATCATTCTGCAATCAACACGGCACTCTCTCCTCCCATGGGGGAAGTCAAATATAGCTTGAGCTTTGTGATCATGATTAGGAAGTGTAGCTGTCTACAGAAACATTACCGTCATTGTTTGTCCCTCGTCTTTGCAGCACCTGTGCATCGTCTCATTTGTGTCTTTCTACTTTTTAATGGACCCATTTTTCTAGCCTTTGCATCCACTCACCTACTCCCCTCCTTGTGTCCCTGTCATTCTGCCGTCTGTCTCTGTACTCAAGTCCTGAGTTGAAAGCAATTTATCAAGTACATCCTCCACAGTAGCTCCACCACCATGTCACCAGCTACTTCTCTCCTGTCATTTGCTCCTGCAGGCTGACCTGCTGTCGCTCTTTATTCACATTCACCGTCTTCAGTTTTCATATCTCTGATCTTTTTTCTTTGCCGTTTGTCGTGTTTTCCCCTGCATTGCATCATCTTGTCTTGTAAAGCTTTTTTAATGACAGTAAATGCTCTCGACCTGATTTGACCCAGCTTTATCTCCTCGCAGGACAACAGCAGGAGGGTGGACAATGTGCTCAAACTGTGGATCATCGAGGCCCGCGAGCTTCCAGCCAAGAAACGCTACTATTGCGAACTTTGTCTGGACGACATGCTGTACGCACGCACCACCAGCAAACCCCGCACCGACACCGTTTTCTGGGGAGAGCACTTTGAGTTCAACAACCTGCCAGCTGTCCGCAACCTACGCCTTCATCTATACAAGGAGACAGACAAGAAGAGACGCAAGGTGACACACACATCTCACCATGGAGGTCTCATATGAAAGAAGGACTTATTTGATATTTGGGTTAATTTAGCATTTTGTTGCTGAAAGATGTGGTACGGTTTTAAGGGAGTCAAATGTTTCAATTACTAAAAAATAACTTAAACATAATGCTTAAGTGGATGGAATTGAAAATGTTCACAATCAAATCAATTCTATGATAATGAGAAAAGAATTTGACACAGTGACAAAAGGCACTTGTGATGATAAACCTGCAGGAATGGATCACCCTTATCTGAAGATCCCCTTAGCAACACATTTTCATCTCATTATTTAGCTCTCATACCTGTAGCTTTGGACGTTTTGCTACTCTCATTGGGCTGTTCAGCGAAAACAAGAAACAACAACTTTACCATAACTTCTCAGCACCAAGCGACAGACAGCCACAGTTGGCCGCTAGCTGGTGCAGCATTTAGAGGCAATATACCACATATTTTCTTCAGGAGTTAGATGAGACCAAAAACAACACAAAGAAGCAATTTGGCTCATTAGAGCATCACTTCAACAAGAACAAGAGATGAAGAAAGGACATACTGTGAGGAGTGAACATTATGTTAAAGAGCTACATTGTCATTCAGTCGTCTTATAATGAAATAGCCAGTAACAAAATGGGGTCTTGTCTGCAGTGGCTCTGCTTTTGTCTTTGTCATTTGCTTTAATAGCCTTATAACACAATGATGCAACGTCCATAGTTTGTGTTGGAGGGAAACAGGAGTGTCTTCAAACTGCACTGACACTGAAAAAGCAGAGGGCCGGACCTGAAGAATGAAAATCCAGAACAATCTTAATTGATGACAAATTGATTAGGTCAATGCCATAGACTTATTATTACAATACCATTGCCATTTACTATTTGGCAGTAAAAATAGTATTTTTCGCCCCCTCATGTCACTTTTATAAATAAATTATAGTGAGTCACAAATATGGTAATTCCTTTTTCTCAATTTAGTACAAGAGTACCAACACCATAGCTAAATAAACTTATTTCTAGCTTCAAATGACACTCCAGGGATCTGGTGTTTCTTCTCGTTATTTATTCAGTGCAGAAGCTTGAAATGGACTTTTTTGACATTTTAAGATTTTCTTTTTTATAAATGTATGAGATTATTATTATAAAATCAGACAGCGCAGATTTATTGAATAGCTTATTATTAACTTATTAGCTTTCTTTATTAGCTGCTGCAACCATTTTTTTCCCCAAACTGGGATTAATAAAGTACATCTTATGAAAAAGTACTCTAAACATGCTTATTTCTATGTCTACTCTTTTCTTGTTTTAAGGAAAAGAGCACATACTTAGGACTGGTCAGCATCCCCATCTCGAGCATCACTGGACGTCAGTTTGTGGAGCAGTGGTACCCGCTCATCCAGCCCAGCGTCCTCACAAAGGGAGCCGGTGGGGGGGGCGGGAAGATCATCAACGCATCCCTACGCCTCAAATCACGCTTCCAGACCATGAACATCCTGCCCATGGAGCTGTATAAGGAGTTTGCAGAGTACGTCACCAATAACTACCGCACCCTGTGTGCTGTGCTGGAGCCCGTGCTGAGTGTGAAGAGCAAAGAGGAAGTGGCCTCTGCGTTGGTGCATATACTGCAGAGCACAGGGAAGGCTAAGGTAGGGGCTACTCTATCAGTATGTGAAGCTGAAAACAGATTGTTCAGTCTTTACTTCTGCTGTAAACATTGTGTGTAAGAACAATAGTTGAGTTTTTTCTTTTCCTCAGGACTTCCTGTCAGACATGGCGATGTGCGAGGTAGACAGATTCATCGACCGAGAACACCTTATCTTCAGAGAGAACACTCTGGCCACCAAAGCCATAGAAGAGTACCTCAAACTGATCGGACATAAGTACCTCAAGGACGCTATAGGTGAGCCATGCCAGTGAAGCACTTGCAGTTGAGTTAGTCATGGTATAAACGGGGACATATTCCATTTTGAAATGCTTTAAAATTCAGGAGATAAGTTTTGGAAAGCCAAAACTTTTAATTGAAGGACAATTCGTCCCTTAGAAACTGTTTCTCTCAGTCTTCCTCCATTCCTTTGCTTGATGGGGGATTTTAGATTTTCCCATCTTACCCACAGAATAATATTTTGTCATATCTTTGCACTGAGTTTGACGATATACTGAATTATTTGATCAGCCAAGTGCAGCTCAAGTGCCTGAAGTCTGTGGGATAGGGAAGCAGCTATTATTATGGATAAATAAAGCTTTCTTAAAGAGAGAGAAGGACATTGAATATAATGTTCTCATTAGGTTTGTGTCGTTAATGAATGTTTTCACGAACATGTACAAAAACTTGATAATAAGTTAACATTGTTATATAGTCAACCACCATTACTCTGGATACTTGTAAACAGGAAATGAAAAAGATAATATCAGTTTGTACTATACAAATAATATTAATTATGATGAAAATGGGTTGAAAATATGCAGTATCGCTCATGTAGTCAATATTCTAAATGTCGTTTTTTTGTTTTTTGCCCCAATCTAGTCCACTTTGAATTTTGAATTACTTTGATTTCAAGTATATAGTTCCACGTCCAACATTAAGCATTTTTCTTTATTTCTGTTAATTGCTTCCTACTTTTAATTTAAATGTAATGTATTTTATTTTTCTATCTAAATGTGTACAATGTTATGTTATGCCTGTGCTTTCTGTATTGTAACAACACTGAAATCTTCAAGGCTTTTTTTTTACAATTTCACCAGTTACTAATGAATATAATTTGTAGGGGAGTTCATAAGGGCCTTGTATGAGTCAGAGGAAAATTGCGAAGTGGACCCCATGAGAACCCCACCCTCCGTGCTCCCAGACCACCAAGCCAATCTCCGAATGTGCTGTGAACTAGCACTCTGCAAGATCGTTAACTCCCATTGGTGAGTAGCTATGCATGCTTGTTTTCAGTTTGTCTTTTACTCTCTGCCTTCTTAAAGATGCATGAGATTTCAGACTCTTTCACGGGGGACTTGAAAAAACTCTGAATTTCTACTGAGTCTCTCATTTGGTATTTCCCCTTCCCAGTGTTTTCCCTCGAGAGCTAAAGGAAGTGTTTGCCTCGTGGAGAGTGCGTTGTGCAGAGAGAGGTCGGGAAGACATCGCTGACCGTCTCATCAGTGGTTCTCTCTTCTTGCGCTTCCTGTGTCCTGCCATCATGTCCCCATCGCTCTTCAACCTCACCCAGGAGTATCCCGACGAACAGACGTCTCGCACACTCACCCTTATCGCCAAAGTAGTGCAAAACCTGGCTAACTTCTCCAAGTCAGTTTCATTTCACTTTATCTACAGCTTTTAGTTTAGTACTTTGTAACACTCAGTTTTTCTCCTTAATTATGAACCTATGAAAAAATGCATGTTTCTTCACAATCTGAAAAACATAGCTTGAGTTAAAAATGTGTTTAAAATGTTACCTTATTTTCAGTCATATTGTGCTATACAGGTATGTCTCAACAAAATGGCAGTGGATATAAAGGACATGTAAGAAACAGTGTTTCAGTTTAAGAGCTATCTGAAATTGTGGCTCCAGTTGACATTACATTTCACCGTCATGTGTTGCTCTGTCACTTTCCTATCTCTACTCGTTCTAACCCTCCATCGGCTTATCTCCTTACTGCCCTTTCCCTCCTTTCCCACTTGCAGGTTTGGCAATAAAGAAGAGTACATGGGTTTCATGAATGAGTTTTTAGAGATGGAGTGGGGCTCCATGCAGCAGTTTCTGTATGAGATCTCCAACCTGGACAGTGTGAGCAATGCGGGCGGCTTTGAGGGTTACATCGACCTGGGCAGGGAGCTGTCCATCCTGCACAGCCTCCTCTGGGAGGTCATCGCTCAGCTCAGCAAGGTAAGCCCAATCATGGCAATATCTGTGCCATTATACAACTATACAGCAATTTCCAACTGTAATTGTTTCCAAAATAAAATTCTAGACCATAGTAATATTAATGGATATTTAAGTAACATTATTTATTTAACATTTAAACGTTTTTGTCCCTTTTTTGCTTTTAGATTTCTCCTCTTTTTACACAAGATTTCACTAAGGTCTTTATCAAAATTTGAGTTTTTCTATCAATTATTCATTGTTATTATTTAGTCATAATGCTGTATTTTAAGCTATTTGATATATCTGGATAAGGCACCTACATTTAAATGGATATAAACCATAGCTACACGTGATAGTTTATTGTTAAAATTCAAAACCACCAGTAATTACATTTTTTATTAAATACATTTCCATAGATGAGACAGAAGTCTTATTCATACTATAGCTTGAATTACATTATGTTGTACAGGTTTTGTGTCCATCCCTTTACATCCCTTCAGGTTTTATTACAGTGAGGCCAAATTTAAACAAACTCAGACTGAATATTTCCGGATTTTTCACCTTATGCCTAAAGTCTTGCTTAATTTTAGCTGTAGAGTAAGTCTTTAATCAGGCTTGAGCCCTCATTAACTTAGGTGGAGATGGACATATGGCATTTTTATTAAAGAAAACTTGCATTAAATAACTTAAAAATATTAAATGTTTTAACTCCGCAGCAAAACTCAGCCAAAATGGTTTTTCTTGAACCACAGGATGCAATCATCAAACTGGGTCCTTTGCCCCGCCTCCTGAATGACATCAGTATGGCCTTGCGTAACCCTCACCTCCAGAGGCAGCCTAGCCATCAGACAGACAGGGTGGTGGAGCGGCAGGCCGACAGGCTGCTGTCCCGGCCCAGCTTCAACAGGGGCATCTCGTCCGAGTTCCAAAATCTCATGATGAGGGATCTGAATAGGTAGGCTGTAGCGGACTCTAGGTACATACCTCACCATTGTCTGTGTTATCACTAGCAATCAACATAAATCAATTACTTTCACATTAACCCAGTGACTGTTGGACCGTGTCAGTGTGTTACTATGGAAACAGAATGTTGAGTATAACGTGTGCCAACGTTTTTTCTTGTTACATTTTTCGGCTGGTAAATACACAACGTACTAATTGAAAGAAGAGAAAGAAAGTAAGATAGAAGTTGTTTGTATGTGTTTTTTATTTTCACATCTACATGGGTATGTTAAACACTAAACGGTTGACTTTATCTTAAGAATGATTTCCAATTGAAATGTATAAAACACACAACCAGAGTACTATGGCAGTATATCCTAAAAGATTAGTCTAGATCAACTAGCTGTTTAATCAACGAGTTGTTCATTCTCTAGTAACCCCTAGTCTCTAACTCCAGCTATTGTTGGCCTTACTAACTGCTGTTCTCCAGCTCTATAGATATCACTCGCTTGCCTTCCCCCACCTCCACCGGAGGGGTCATGCCATCCCGCTCCCAGATGAATTTCCAGGACCGTGACCACCTCCATCGAGTGCCCTCCAAAGACATGTTTTACGTATCCCGTCCTCCCCTGGCCCGATCCAGCCCGGCCTACTGCACGAGCAGCTCGGACATCACAGAACCAGACCCTAAGGTGAGTTTTTAACACGTAGACATGGGGACTCATCATCCCGTTCGCTAGGTCTATTTTTTAATCAAAGTGAGGTTAGTATAACGTGCATGTTAGTCATACTTGTTAGAATCTGCCATCGTGTGATCGAGGCTGTAGTTTATCATGACATCTGCTTTTTTTCCACTGATTCACCACGCAACTCATCATAACGGTATTTCCTGGGAAATACTTTGAGGCAATCCGATATCCAGGCCTCTCGGTAAAAACACCCCGCACCACCCTCACCCATATCATCCGTGGCCACGTAACGTACATAATATTAGGAGGCACAAAGGCCTCTCATATCCCTTATAAATTAGATTTTTAGTGTCAATAAAAGCGTATATCTATGATGGACCTCCAGGATCCCCGATTGAACAGCGTGTCTAACCTGCAGTCGGTGGAAATGCTCAACTCCTCCCAGGCCTCCATCGCCGGCATGGGCAGCTTCGGGGGGCTGAGCAGCGGAGGCGGTGGCGGCCTGGGGTCCGGCCTGAGCAGCCAGCTGCGGGCCGGTGGGAGGTTGTCAGCTGGCTCTGGCGGCTCCAGCATGTCCGGCGGCCTCCGGCTGAGCCAGCTGAGCCAGATGGGCAACACCACCGACTCGCTATCCCAGCAGCAGCAACAGCAGGCCGCCGCCATGCGCTACCCGCTTTCCTTCCAGAATCCCCTCTTTCATCTGGCGACTGCTGACGGGCCCCAGCAGCCACAGCTCCACCACCAGCACAGCCGGGCTCCACCTCCAGCGCCGCTGCTCCTGACCCCAGAGCCCGACCCCTCTCACCCGAACTACATGCCACAGTTCGCCCACGGGGGGTTCTCTCGCAGCGAGGACCTGTCCACCCTCAGGACCAGGGACGGTCACCTGGGCCAACCCAGCATCATCCACTCTCACAGCTACAGCGACGACTACAGCAGGGCCGACTACGGACGCAGGCAGATGTCCATGCATGCGCAGGTACATGTGTGTTGTATTGTGGTGACGTCTTAAAGCCACTGAGTGGAGATGTATATTTCTCTTTCAAGTGAAAGGGGGAAGACGTCAACTAAGGGTTGTTGTCATTATTAATAGATCTATTCTGATTTTAAAAAGTGCATTTTTTGTAGATCACAAATTTCCAGAGCCCAAGGTAACTTCCTCAGGTTGTTTGTTTTGTTGACTATATTACAAATTAGAAGTAGTTTGGATAACTAAACTTCCTGGATCACATTTCAAGATTCAAGAAGATTCTCTATCGGTAGAAATGTGTGTGAGTGGCTCACAAACAACATAAAAGCAAACACATCCATGAAAACCTCTCATAATACTACATTAAAATACAGTTAAAAGAAAATGACTTACTGGTGCCTGAAGCACCAGTAACTAACTAAAAGAGAACTGAAAAAAAATGGAAATGCTAACTTAATATCTACTATTTTTCTTCCTAAGGATAACCTCCAACCACAACAACAAATGATGGGTATGGCCAACCAGACAGGAACCTCCCACTCCTCCCTGGCCGCCACGCCCCCCACCACAGTCCTACCCATGCGCCAGAGTTCTGTGGCCCCGCCTCCCACCCAGCGCGTCAGGTCCCAGACATCCCACCAGCTGTCTGTCAGTGCGGCAGCTGCACCTGCTGCTCTGGCAAAGACTCGGCCGCCGAGCGGGAACCTCCTCCAGTCGCCGGAGACGGGCTACGCCGGCAGGCAGCACGGGCCCCGGCAGCTGTCCGTCAAAGACAACACCGCCCCGGGCCTGCCCCACCAGCAGAGCTCTGTCAGGGAGAACCAGAGTCCGCAGGGAACCACCACTCAGAGCGCTCAACAGTCACCACAGCAACAGTCTCAGCACCTGCTCAAACCCACCATGAGCAAACAGGTAACACCTGCAAGCTTTCACTTCATTTTTTTTCTCTTCGTTCTTCTCTGAAGTATTCATGTTTATCCACCAGCACCTGTGCTCATGATTATTTCTCAACAATGCTTGTAACCCATTTTCTCCTGGGTTTATAAAAGTATTCCTAATTCTGATTCTGGAGATGTCTGTTACTGTACAGTATAAGTGAGAACAGCCCTAAAAATGTCAGGAGGTTCAGCACAAAATGAATAAACTCATGCAGCTCAGAACATCTCTTGTTGTGACCTGACGTCCTCTACAGAAGAACTCATGTTCTCATATTCAGTGTGTTGGCCTTTCTTCCCAGGGCTCCCAGACTCCATCCACTCTCAATCCCCCCACCCCAGCCAATGAGCGAACAGTGGCCTGGGTCTCCAACATGCCTCATCTGTCGGCTGACATTGAAAGTTCGCGGATTGACCGTGAAGAATTCAAGCTGAAGGAGTACTCAAAGAGCATGGATGAGTCACGCATGGACAGGGTAGGTATTCTTCTAAAGTTTCAGAACTGCCCTTTGAATAAATGAAACTTTTTTCCATGCTTTGAGGAACATTGAGTCATGTCTATCAGTTCTGAGCAGATGGCACTCAGATTTGGTCTTAACACAGACATCAAGAGGTCACAGTGTGGGAATCAGCCAAATGTTTTTCAGTGTATATCAGACTCTTTTAGGTGGTTTCCTACTTTACAGTGTGTCTTGTTGAATATAAATGTGGATAAAGAAACTTTAAATCCACAAGCCATTGAGGTCTCAAGGTTGGTCAATACTAACCCAGTTGAATCATTTCTAATTCCTCATTCTCTCCATACCTCTGCCTCAGGTAAAGGAGTACGAGGAGGAGATCACCTCCCTGAAGGGCCGCCTGGTGATGTCCCACCAAAAGCTGGAGGAGTACGAGCGGAGGCTCCTCACGCAGGAGCAGCAGACCAATAAGATCCTCCTTCAGTACCAAAATCGACTGGATGACAGTGAGAGGAAGCTACGGGCACAGCAAGTGGAGAAAGACTCCCAAATTAAAGGAATAATTAGCAGGTAAATGGAGGCTGTTGTTGGGATGGAGGGCAAAAGACAGCTAAGACATTATGTGGTCTTTTATAGGGCGGCCATTTTGCGGGCCGCATTGACTTTATCTTTGTATATTTTCCTTTGTTGAGTACACTATGAGTCTTCTTCTGAAATATGTGGAAAAGGGAACACATTCTCTCAGATAAAGAATGCTAGCATTAATTAAAATGCATTCTCTGCTTCTGAGGGGCTACAGAAGTCTTTGGTTGATACACTACAACTTTAGCTTATTGGATTCTATTAACACGAGCGAAACACAAACTTGAAGCTGCAATGTTTTTTTTTCCTGAAATACTTATATTGCATATTGGAATATAACTCTATTTGCAGGGGTTGTTATCTTGCAGAGAATATTGGAGAGTAGGAGGTTGTTTCAGTTTCATTAAGTACTACAGCCCTGGGAGCAAGGCAAGGAGCCGCACTGTATATTGGAGCCAGAGCTGCAGACATGTAATGAGTGACAAATTAAATGAGAGACTATTATAAAGGGAGACACAGATCGATATCTTCTGAGATACATGTGCAGAGCATGTTCCCTTGGCGGTTGGGTCTTTACAACTGAGTTAAAGTGGTGATAGGAGTCTGATTGTCCTCTAAGCTCTTGTAGTGGTAATATGCCATATGACATGCTTTACTTGTTATTCTAGAGCATCCTATTTGGATCCCTTTGGAGACTTCCAGATGAGTCCTAATATTATTCCGTGCTTGCAGTTTTGGAGCTCTGTCTTGAGATTGTATTAATCCCCAGAAAATGTTAGTAGTTCATGGGAAAAGAGTGGAATATTGATCGAATCTCATTTGTGTTCAGGCACAAAAACACTAAAGTTGTGCGTTTGAATGGATTCCTTGAGCAAGTGTGACTGCACATTTGCAATGCTGCCCACATCTAGTTAAATCGATGTTTTTTTCATGAGAGAGTTCAGATAGGAAGGCTGTGTAAGAAAGACAATACAGTATTTTCTTGTTCTGCAACCAAAGCGTGGATATCTGTGAGAATATTGCCACTTCTAATCCACTCCAGGAAAGAAGACTTCGAATGACGACAGAGACAGTCCTGCTCGTCTTTTATGGGAAAACATCTTTAACGCTATAACCTTGTATATAAAACCTTTTAAAGCACCGTCCCATATTTCTGTGCTGCGGCACTTATCATCAGCCTTTTTAATGAACACAACTTTGAAATGGATCTCGGGATCATTTAGGATGATACAAGCTATCCTAATTTCCAATTGACTCCAACAAGATTGTACTGTAAAAGCACAAAAGGACGACATTCGATAACTTCAGAAACATGTCTGCACTTTTTAAAGCGACGCGTAGTTTTGGACCTTCGGGCACTGGACTATGGAAGACCATGGTTTAATATTAGCTCTTCCGTTTTAATCACGGTGAACCATGTCCGCTGAAGGACTGCTGACGTATCTTTCTGGGGACGCTTCTCTCCTTTTGTTTTAACACGATGTGATATAAGGAGGGGAGAAAGGCACACATAATGATAAAGATACAAGCATGGAAGCAAAACAAATATGCCACATAATAGAGAAACTTTATCAGAGCACTTAGAGCCAAACCTATGTTTATTGCTCCCCTGGAGTGTACACTTAAAGCTAATACAGTAAATCTGCTGCACTCATAGAGCATTGTGTGCAGGAATCTGATATCTCCAAGGAATGCACTTGTATCCTGTGTGACTTTTATTATCTGACCACACAAGGATGAATTAAGTAGCAGATCTGGATGCTTCCAAGTCAGTTTTACAAAAAATCCACTGAGCCAGACCATATCATTGAACGCATTAAGACTTGCATTGTCTGGATTTTTAGTTTTAACGCATGTATGAACAAGAAAAAGTGGAAGCCAAGAAACACGGTCAGGCCATGGAATGCCAACACCTTATTGAAATGACAAGGGTATCCATAGCCTTACGATATGTTTTACCTTACATTTATGATTATGATACATCTTCACATTCAAATACATTATGCCGATGCAAATGCCAGCTCAGGTTCTGCAAAAGGAGCTTAAAGTGATGCTGAATTCATGGCTCCTTTGTCGACATTTCCTTTTCTGCAGAACTAAAACACTTAGCATTGTGTTTTAAGTGTCAGAGATTTTCTTTCAGAGAAGCCTTAATGTTCTGTGTATAAACTTTACTTTAAGCTCGGAGCAAATCTGTCATTAGGCCTGATACACTTTCTGTCCTTTAACAACTTCATTTAAACCAAAGCCAAATATTCCGTTTTCAGCTATGCTAGGTTAAATCCACTGAAAATACTGAATCCACTTTACCTGTAGCAATTGTATCTATATATTTTTCCTATTAGTTGGCTACAGGCTCACCTATTATTATTTTTGTCAAAAAAATTAACTAATACAAATATAAATTATTTATTTTCCCTAAGCTGTTTGCTGTGAACAAATTAATGTTGAGCCTGCAGTAGGGAAAACCTGTCATAGTAATAATCTATTTTTAACTATAATCCAGAGCATATTAAAGTCTGTGATGCAAGAGCCATAACAATAATGATATATGAGATATATATAAATTCTATTGAGAGTGAGATTATCACTATTTTACCTTGCAATAGCTAACTTTTTAGCGGGAGAAGCGCAATAATAGATATAATATATACATGTGCTGTCTGTGCAGATGCACATGCAGGATCCTGCCGAGCTATATATCGTATGAATCTTGTGTACATAAAGAAAAACGTAACTTCCTGCCACAATATTTTACCAGGTGCCATTCACAGTATCTAAACGGACGAAATAAAGACCTGGAATACTGTAAGATGCAAAGTACCACAGAGACAACATGACAACAATGACGTGACTCTTTGACAACAGTATGTTCTGCAAAGTGTGTCCCTCAGTTCTCAACTTCTTTTGGCTTCTCTGTACGGTGTTTGTGAATTTATCTGCATCTAAAATGAAAGCCTGCATTGGATATTATTTATTAATTAAAGCACACATTTCCTTATACCTGTATTATTTGCTGTATATGCTTGGTATGCCTTTTGACTTTCAGTCTGTCATTGGTGGTGTCCAGTGACATGGTGAATCAGAATAGTTGTTTAAGAGAGTACTGTCATTTACCTTATGCATTTACATATTATTATTATTATTAAAAAGGCAACCCTATTATTTATTTTTCCCTCTTCAGAGATCTAGATAATATTCTGGTGTCAGTATATCCGCCTCTCTTTTGTAGCAAGAATATATTGATAGGCTGTATAGATTGTATACGGCAAAACTTGTGTTTAACTCTTGCAAATGAATCCATAGTGGTGACGAGTTTTGGCTTGATGTGTGTGTGATCAATATCGGTCTGATTGACATGGCTTGTAGCAACAGCCAAGGGTTTATAGTCACTTTTATACAGACCTGTGTCAAATAGTTGCAAGTAATTCTTAGCTTTATTTTAACCAAATGGTTCGGGGGGAGGGGGG